TGGCATTATCTATTGGTATCATGGATTACCAAAAGATATTATATTTAATAGAAGGACTCAATTTGTATCAAGATTTTGGAGAACTCTTTTTAAAATTCTAAAGGTGTACATAAAACTTCTTTCACTCTTTTATCCTCAAATTAATGGATAGACAAAGTGCATTGTATTATTATAAATACTTATAGTATATAAAAATTAATTAAAATATATTATATGTTGACAAATATAGATGTATGTTAGAGTGGCTAATACATTAAATCAAAAGGAGTTGATATAAGAAACTTTACCTTGTTTTTTTTTTTTTTTTTTTACTTGTTTTGATTTTGATATTAAAAAATATATATATGAACTAAATGTTCAATAGGAAGCCGTGAGAGGAAATTAGAGCCTAAAGATAAAAATCTTAACTAATATGAGGCTTATTTGGAGGGATGAAAGTAAGACAAGGATAAATAAAGGCAAGGAATGGAGATCTTCATTCCTATTGGTTGAAGGCCATATCCAATGGGCTTCAAGGAGGCTAATTGAGAACTTATTAGGGATTAGGGTTTCTTTATCAAGGTCATTTGAGCTTTGGAGGCTAAGGTCATCAGAATTAGGTTTTTTGGTATAGATTGGATACAAATTTTGTATGATTTAAAATTTTTATAAAAGAGTTATTGGCGCTCAAAGTTAAGGTATTAGTTTTCATATCTACTATCACTCTTTGGGGCATAACATACATTTAGAAAAAGCAACGAAAGATCGGCGATTGGAATTAGTGATAAAACTTATTCAACTACACTTTTTATATATTATTTGATGAATTTGAAGTTTGGATGAAGAAGTTATAAAGGATTGAAGTCATTGCATCCAAATCAAAGGTAGTAAGTAATTGATTTTATTCATAGTAATAGTTGGAACTATATCTTGAGTTTTTAGACAAATTTTTAGCTTAAATCTTTTGAAGAAGATAGATTATTGTATTAAAAAGCTATACATATAAATTTTATGGCATTTTAGTGTTTAATTTGTGAGATATGAAGAAAATTACATGCAGGTGTATAAAAATTAGGATTTGAAGCCACTGTTAGGATTTTGGTGATATCTTAAGATTTGCAATAAATTTGCTATTGAAATTTGTTGTAATATTAGTTAGAAGTACATCAATACTTCATGTAAAATTTGAGTGTGTTTGAATAGTCCGATTGAAAGCTATGATTTTTTGAAGTTCAAAAATAATATCCCATAAGGATAAATAAGGATTTAGAGGTTTTATCATATTTTGAGTATTTTTGGAAACTTAAGACTTATATAATTGGTATAATAGTACCTAAAAAAGTTTTATATATATATATATATATATATATATATATATATATATCCAAACTTTGTCTTTCTTATCTCAAAACTTCATTGTGCAATTAGTGGCAGCCAAGAGTCTAATGCATTCTTGAGGCAAACTCTTTCTAACTTGACATCGTAAATTAAATTTTGAAGCAATACTTAAGATGTACTATCAATAGTTAAGAAGATGATTAGGTAACTCTCTTACCATTGGCAGAGTTTACTTATAATAATATAATATATTCTTCTATGCAAAAAATATCTTTTTTTGCCAATTATGATTATCATCTATGACTTGATACTTTTGACTTTTTAAAAGCTGATAATCCTATGGCAGAAGATTTGGAAAATTATTTTTTAGAACTATATGCAATAATAAAGTTATAATTAAAAGAAGCTAAAGAACGACAAAAGATCAATGTAGATACTTATCAAAAGAAACAACTATAATTCAATATAAAGGACAAGATATGGTTACGTTGTCGTATCGCATGATTTGCTATTTGGGAATACACTGGGTATCTACCTGTAGAGAGTTTAGCTTAAAATTTTATATGTATCTTATTTTAGCTTCCAAAACTCCTTTACTTTACATTAAATTCAAAATATAGCAAAATTCCTTCAAAACATAGTTTTTCCTCAAAGGGTTTTCTCTTTTGAACTTTAGAAATTCATAACTCTTGATCTAATTGTTTATTTTGTCTCAAATTTACAAAGTAGGTAGAACTTATTCTTAAGTTTTACCACAAAAAAATCTAACAAATTTACTCCCAATCTTCTAACATCTAAGAAATCCTAGCAGATGCTCTAAACCCTAATTTATAAGCATCCGAGCACTATTTTCTTAATATCTCAAGAATCCAATATTCAAATGCCATTAAACTTATATAAAAATTTTACTAACATAAATATACACATTTTCTGAAATTTTGAGCCAAACCTTTGTCAAATTGCTCAAGATATAGCTCAAGACACAATCACTAGTAAATCGGATCACTTACTACCCTTAGATTGCATGTGTTGACTTCAAAATCCAATAACTCCTTTATTCCAACTTAGAATCCAGCAAGCAATATGCAAAAAGTGTAGCCACAAAAGTGTTCTCTTCAGTTGCAGTTGTTGATCCTCAATTATTTTTATGTACGCGTGCATTATGTCAAAAAGAGTGACAATAGCTCTCAAATCAATACCTTAACTTTGAGCGCCTATATCTCCTTCATATAAATTCCAAATCATACAAGATTTACACCAAAACCATAGCCAAAAACCTGAGCTCTCTAACCTTTAGTCTTCAAAGTTCGATTGGCCTCGAAAAACTAACCCTAATCTCTAATATGGCCTCAGGCAACCTCCTCAAAGTCCATTGGTCATGATTTTTGATCAATAGGAATGGAGATTTATATCATCCATCTCCATTCATCTATATGGATGTCCTAAACTCTCTTTTTATTACCAAAATTCCTCTCAAATTCTTTTTTTTACAAGATTTATTCAATATATGCTCTAAATACCATATTAAAGAACCAAAATAAGACTTCAAGGATTACCAATGTCTAATTAAGATGTCTCTAAATATTTAAAATTACTACCAACAAAATTAATCTCAAAAGCCACTATCAAAAGAAAATAAAGTTATACAAATTCTAATAGTAATCCTTTTAAATACTTCTTTTCAAAGTAGTAATTTAACCACATTCTACAACCAACTAAAATCCAATAACATCGCTCTCACTATGTTGTTAAGTAAATTGTACATTAAATACATAATCACATTATTTTCACATCGTAGCCAAACCACAACACGACAACGTCATCGTAATATCAAGACTACTTGTTCTTGTGATAAGTTGGACTACTACAGGCTTGGGTCTTTTCTTATTTGTGGACAAATCAATCTACTTGCTTATTGATTACATCTACTAAAGACAATGAAGATCCATCTTGTATTCCACGTGTCTCTTCTTAAACCATACGAGATTGTGAACATACCAAGAAGAAGACAAGTTCCACCTCCTTCTATAAAAGTCGACAATAATAAAGAGTTTAAAATAGAAGAAGTTCTAGACTCAAGGTGTCCTCAAATTAAGTTAGAATATCTTGTTTATTTGTGTGGATATGCTATTAATAAATGCACAAGAGAGTCAGTAAAGAATCTTGCAAATGCAATAAAGATGGTGGAAGTTTTTCATCAACAATATCCATCAAAACCAAGATGAAGAATAATAAGTCTTTGCTATATAAGAAACAAGGTCAAAAAAGATTGCATTCTATTTTCTATCCTTATTTATGGTTTCTACATAATTGTAGTATTAAAGAAATAAAGAATTAACAACCATCTAATAAAAAGTATTATAAAATTAATCTATTTTTATTTATAAATAGGTAAAAGTAGATAAAAATAGATTAATTTTATAATACTTTTTAGAGAAGCTTTTTAAACATTGTTTTGACTTTACATATATTTGTAGTTGATTGATAGGTTAAAAACTTGTTCAAGAAGCTAACCACAAGCCATATGTATTGATAGCTTGCAAAACAAGCTAATTATGTGGCACTCATATAGAAAACTTGCCTTATAAGTTAAGATATGTATTCTGCAAAGTCATCACGTTTTTGAAGGTCTTATAGAATGTTACTACATAAATCTTAGGTAGATAGTATATATAGAGGTAAGAAGAAAGCCTTCTTCACTCTTGTTAATTCCTTTCTTACTTCTAGTCTAGATTTAAGAGTCTTTAATTTCTTTGTCTATTGACAATAGCCATTCCAATTTTTTTTAAATATACTTTCTTTATTTCTATTTTGTCACTTTTTTTTTGACATGGATTTTCCAAGTTTATGCATTTTCTTTCAATTCACATTTTGACAATTGAACATAATCCATATTTTGTGAATTTTTCAAAAAAATCTATTATCATTATACATGTATTTGATATTAATCACTTAATATTCACATATTCATTGTCCAACTGAATTTTATGTTATCATAGTCCAAAATTATATATAAACAACCAAAATAACTATTTTAATAACTTTACAAAGTTCACTATTAATGTTTATTTATTATAATATAAACTCTTTTATGACACATACACAAAGCTTTTTAACAAGATATCTAATAATTTTATTGCTTTTTGTTATACTAAAATATGCTTGATTAATAAAAATATTTGTGAAGATGCAAAATATATAAATAAATTAAAACTTAAGTATAAGTTAAATAGACGTTTTCTTTGGCCTTAATGGCTAATAAGTTCTAGCTTTGATACTAAGTTTATATTTGATATTTTTTTTTTGTATTAAAAAAACTTCTATTGCCTTAGGACTATAAATGGATGAAATAATCATAATAATAATTATAATAATAAAAATGGTAGAAAAATGATATAATAAGTTTGCTGCCAATCCCACCACAACTTGCCATCTATTACATGTCATTATAGATTTTGTTGTGCCACCACAAGATGCCTTAAACTTACATTGCATACTACAATACATTTTATGGAACCTTAGGAATAACAACAGGCCAGAGCATAACTACTCGATAGCAGCTTCAAGCAAGCTCACCTACGGTTTAAATACTCAGATGTACGAGCAATTTTCTACCTAGTACACGCATTATAATCCTGAAGTCCAAACTCGAAATTACCTCCAAAGTGCAACATAAAAACAAGTGAGCTGAGGAATAACCAAAATCTCAGTTCATTCGGAACATTAACCAAAAATTGAACAAAAAGCTCAGGCGATTTGACGAATGGAATTGCTGCCTGGCCAACTACTTGAATACAACTTGAACTATAACCACGTCCTGGTCATTATTCAGTAATGGACCAGTAAGTAGATGCCCACTCAGTTACCAAGTCCACAGTAAGGAACTTGTACTCATCCTAGACACAAACCTCCCTTTGTGCTCCATGTCGACGAACCTGAAATGCACATCAGAAAACAGGAAAAAAAACAGATACAACCTACAAAACGTAAAACTAAGGAATAGCAGTTTGTCAACGACAGATTAAACCAGAGGCAATCACAAAACCTTGAACTCACCAGGGGTACAGCTTAAAGAAATGTTACCTTCACTTGTCTTATCATGCGATTCATAGAAGTGCTGCTGGCCATATGTCACTTTTCAACTGCGGATCTTACCGGCAGCAAGGGTCCGATCAGCAATCCCCTTGGAGTAAACCGTAAACTGAGATCTGTTTCAGAAGCAATATGACGAAAAGATTCCAATTGCTGAAGAATCAACCCTCGATCAAGTTGAAAAGCATTCAACAGAGCGGCCAGATTCCGAAGACATACTGCAACCCTTGGCTACTAAGGCGAATCGCAGCACAAATAACACCTCCATTTATGGATTTGGGTAATCGAAGAACACCAGACCAGTCAACGGGTACCCAACTCTGGAAAGAACACGTCGCAAAAGCAAACAGTGCAATGGCCATCTTCTGAGGTAGAACTTTGTATCCTCGGATAATTATGTGTGCTGCAGCATGGATGACACCTTCATTCATTGATGGATTGAACAGAAGTTCACTAGATAAAGGAACGCGTAGGAACTGCACTTGCGACAGGAAGAAACTTGTCGCAATTGTGAGCCAACATCCGAACAGAAAAGACACTTCCACCTCTTAGATGATGACACCTTCTACACCAACCCAGTCATTTCTCCGCCATACAACCTCTAGCCTCCACGCTGCCCAACACTGATCCCCCAGACAATCATGCAGATACCGAAATCATTAACCGGGCGTCAAAAAAAACTGTGGAAGTCCTTCAGGAACGGATGCTACAAAGGGTGACCCAGTTTGTTGCATCCCCTGTAGCTCCAGCCAACCCCCCACAACCTCAGTAACAGATTGATAATCTATAAATGGAAACACTTTTGAAATACATGAGAATGAAGGACAGCTAACGAAACGTAAAGCCTTCCTCATGATTTGAGCAAACGAAAATTACAAAAAAAAGAAATGAAATACTGACCTTCCTTCCCTGCAAACACTCAATCAGAACCAACCATCCAATTCCAAGCGGCAAAAGTATTGGTGGCCAATACCAGCCTGTGACGTCCTCTTGCCAGAGTAGAGGTCCATGTCCCCACAAACCACATACCCTACCCACAATGCACCACATGTATCCGCCGCCCAACTTACACTGCTCTAGTGTCCAGCGGCCGTCAATGCTCCCCAAAATCACAGGAAAGGACCAGATATATCAACAGGTAATGAATTGCTGCAGAACCAAGCACATGGAGCTGGGACCAGATGGATACGGAGTACACTGCCAATGAGTACTTCAAATTTTGCGGGGTATAGAATAAGAAATCTCAGAAGACCAGACATCCAGGTCAATCGGCACATCCGAGCAAAAAAAGCGCTGAATGCAACTGGTAAAGTTTTCCGCCATTGGTGACTCCAAACCTCTACCACAAGCCCCAAAGGTCAAACCAATCCTCTTCATCATCACTTTGCCTGGCTCTGGTTTCTCAACTCGCACCAAATGAACAGTCAGAAATACAACATGCTTTCTTCATAACTAGCACTCTATTTATAGCTGGTTGCAGGCAAAACCAAAGGACTTCTTTCTTCGGCTGACGTAAAAAAGTCGTCCATACAGCGGGGTACCATCTTCAGCATAGTAGTCTCTTCTCAATAACGGTCATCATGACCTCGAGATCCACCAATGGGCCGATCATATGGCCCTGATCGATCTCTAGTGCTTCCCTCATAACGTGAGGCACCTCCTCCCGCACTAGCATATCGATCACCACCTGAGTAACGATCACCGCCTCGGCTGCTGTCCCTGTCACGATCGTATTCAATACGATTCTCTCTGTTATAAGGTCCGCCATTCTTACGGTCAGGTCCCCCAGAGCGGTCACCATAACGATCACTTCCACGGCCACCACCATAACGGCCGCCACCTCCACCGCTGCCATATCGATCTCCTACACCATACCGGTCGCTGAAGGAAAAACAAACAAACAAAACACCCCACCGATACGTTGAAACATGCACAGCTCACCTAAAATCTGAAATAGAAAATGGGCAGTTTCAGCGCATGGAAGAAAAGATATCTAGGCGCAACAATGTGTCCAACGTGAGCATATTTAACAACATGAATTCAAATATTAATTAGGTGCGACATGAGATGCATCAACATTCATGCTAACCTTCCACTGTCATAGCGATCGCGACCAGAGTACCGGCCACCACCACCGCGATCACCTCCACCAGTTGGGCATTCACGTGCCCAGTGGCCAGGTTGTCCGCACTTGAAGCAATCGCCTCCTCCGCCACCACCACCACCACCACCACCGCCTCCACCTTTACCACCACCTCCACCACCACCTCCACCACCACCTCCACGATCACCTCCACCGTCCCTGCCTTTAGGTTTAGCACGATTTACAGTAATGGGACGACCGTCAAGTTCCTTGCCGTGAAGGCGCTCTATGGCCTCATCCATCGAACGCTCATCTCCGAAGTTTACAAACCCGAACCCTCGAGAGTGGCCTGTTTCTTTGTCGACGATAACCTGCACAAGAGCGGCAAAATAAACTGAACATCAAAAGAAACTGTCTCTAATATGAATCACAATTATGAACGCGCTACAGACTGCAACAACCAATCGAACCACGAGTGAAAAAAGGATGATGTCGGGAAAAGACGACTTGTATGGCTGAGTAGTTAAGCGCACTGCGAACAAAAATACCGAAATAGGGTTAATACATACCTTGGCCTCAAGGACGTTACCAAAGCGCCGGAACTCTTCTTCTAATCCTTTATCCGTGGTATTCCACGACAGACCTCCAACGAAGCACCGGAACTCTTCCACCTCAGCCATAACGAACGTTTACACACCTACTCCAACAATCTGCAGATATATCATTCGTCATAACCAACCGCACACAACATGAAACAGTAGTTCGAAGAGGAAAAATCAAAGCAAAAATTGAACACATGTGCCAGGACTCTACATCGTGCTACTGTAAGAGGACTTGCACACACATTGATCTCATCGCACTTATGCAAACAAAAAGCAACTGAAAGACAAATAACAAAGACCTAAAATTCTCCTCAACTTCACCTACACGCAAACAAACGTACATATCTGTACATCACACAAGACAGAGGCATGCCTACAGCAGAGGTCTCTAACCCAAAAGAGACCTAACACTTTCGGGGGAGGGGGGGGGGGGGGGGTACAAAGCTAACACCATTCATCTCTTACAGTTACACTAACTAAACCTGTGTCACCAAACCAAGATGAAAGGTTGACAGCCGTGACTATCCCTCACATTTTTCTACACGCCATGAAACCATAAAAACACACGCAGACACTCACACCAAAACCGGGATAGATGCATATCAACATAAGAACTTTCTTCACAATTAGCAAGCCTGACATGCGGTACCCTAAACTGGAGCAACACTCCTCCTGAGCACGACAAGATAAGTGGCCAGAGAAGCAGACAGCATCGTCACAAGAATCATTCGCATCAGGTAGAGAAAGAGAAAGAGAGAAAAGGATTAGGTTCACCATGTGCAGGCCAGAGTAGTACCAAAAGAGCGGAAAAAGAGAGATGAGAGAGCCACTCACTACTGCTCCACTGGACCTGAGTGTTGTTGTTGTTGCCTGGCAGCAGAGCATTAATAACTCCGAGCAAGCAAGGCAAGGCAAGGCAAGGCAGTCTAAGGAGTAGCAGCAGCGAGAAGGAGCGGACGCTGCAGAGAAGAGAAAGGAAGAGGAAGGGGCAGGGAAGACACGCCCTGGTTGGTGCTTCTGCCACTATTCCTCCTCCTCCCCCTCCGAAGTAAGTAAGTTTGTAGGGTAGTAGGGTACGGCTGGAAAGAAGAAAGGTGCATTCATTCATCCAGAACAAGAAAGAAAGAAAGAATTGAGAAAGAAGAGTGAGTGAGTGAGAAGAAAAGGAGGTGGGGCCAGCCCTGCCCTGCCCAGGGCTCACCCAACCTAGGAGGAGGACCTGAGTGGAGGGGCGACATGGATGAATGGATGAATGGGTGGATGACTATGTGGATGAACGAACCTATGGATGAGGTGAAAGTGGCGGTTGGGTAGGGAGATGTCCCACATCATACTTATTTCACCTCCTTCTTTTGTGAGGTGGGCTTGAAACATAAAAAATAAAAAATAAAAGTACAAAATAACTATCAAAATTCAACGTGTATGTATGTTTGTAAGTATGTATGTACATGTGTGTATGTATGAATGTACATATATATATGTATGTATATATGTATGTATATGTATATATTTTTTATTTATTTTATTTTAAAAAAAATTAAGGAAAAAAAGGGGTTTCAAAACTATTCAAAAAATACTTGTTAGATGAAATATTTATAAAATATTAGGCAAATATTTATTTTGATAAAACAGTTATTTAAAATATCATATTCACATTAACACAAATTAAATTCCAAAATTTAAATCAAGTTTTTTCTTAATGGTAATATAAGATCTATAAAAAATTCAAGTAAAAAATGACTTTTTTGTAAAAATCCTTGTGATTAGTAAATTTTTAAATAAAATAAATAGTATTTTTAAATACTAGGATTGAAATTTCAAAAAAAAAATTATCATAATCTTATTTATCAATTTGATTTCTTGTAATATAATTTGTTCTTACAATTGAATTTGTTTGATGGAAATCAAAACTTAATTGTCTCCATGAAAAAATGATTTCAGATAGTATAGAAAATGTAAATATAATTTTTGTTGCGTTCTATATTAAAATATACAAATTTTATTTTTTTATATATTCCCCATTTAGGTTGTGTTCACAGGATAAATAAATGAATGTAAAAACAAATTTAACCAAATCAAAACATTGGTAATGGATGAAAAATCTTGTAGAATATTGAAAATCTTGTCCACTTTTATTTTCATTTTATTTTATCATTACTCATCCTTTCTTTCGAGCATGTATTTTTATTTATCAAAAAACATTACACAATTCAAAATCAATTTTTAAAATTCATTCGATATTTAAATTCAATTATTTTTGTTAATATTTAAAAAATCTAAAATATATATATATATATATATATATATATATTTTGTCTATGTATTTAGACTCTTTAAAAATAAAAAATAATGTTTTCAAATTAAACCAACAAAAAATATTTCAAAATTTATCACATTGTATTTGTATAATCTTTTAATACACACATATATATATACATTCGAAAAAGTAGTATTTCTGTAGCAATTTTTTCAAAAAAATTAATTATGATCTATTTCAACTCAACTATAAAACATATTTCTTCTTAAATTTTATTTTTGAATGTGTATTTTAAAATATTTTGAAACATATATTATAATAGTGGTTTAATTTAAAATTTCTCAATTTGTACACAATGACATTGATACCTATTATACTTGAATAGATAGAAGTAAATAGAAATAAATCAAACATAGAATATCTCCTTTTAAAAAAATTAAAGAAGCTTTTTAGACTCATATTAGATCAATATGTGTGGCATGTGGCTATAAAAATTCATTCATGATGTTCTTAACTATTAAAAAGTTATTACAGAAATATATTTTAACTTATATACTTAGCTTACAAGTCTTAAAGATATTTTTAAAACTTCACTATAACAAAATTGGTTAGTATATAAAAAAAAAAAAAAAAAAAAAAAAAAAGATTCTTAATTTTATCAATCCGTTTCTTGTACTTTAGTCTTAGTAAAATATTTTTAGTTTCTTATATATTCTTCTTTCTTATTTACGCACAAATATATTATACTCTAATAAGTATATTTGGATTTATTTTCTTTACAACTTGAAAACATTAATGATTGAAAATACCAAAATATAAATTTTCCTCCTAAAAAGTATGCTATTTTTTTAAGAAATATTAAAGCACTTCAAAAGTTATAGATTTAATTCGCCTAAACTAATATATTATCTTTATAATTCTATTTTATATCTTCTTATTTATTTATTTATTTATTTATTTATTTATATTGATATATATATATATATATATATATATATAAAATTTTAAGATTCTTTATTATGAAAAAGGTTTTTAAAATATATTATTATACAATGCAATTGCAAGAATAATCAATAAATTGATGCTTGTAATGCATCAACATTGTTTACAAATCTAACAAATACTTGGAGTGGCCAATCAACAATGTATAAAAATGTCAAAAGAATCATTAATAGTTATTCTTTCTTAAGTAAACTACTCCACTACATATTATTAAAAAAATACAATGATAACAACTAAAGAGCTAAGCCAGATCTTGCATTAGAAGAGTTTTGACTACAGATTTCTATAATTCTAGAAATATAAGTTTATTTTAATTAAAAAAATCTTGAAAAATAAATATTATATTTTTTTTGATAATATTTTAAAACAAATATATACCATTAAAAACTTTGATTTTTTTATATTTTAAATGTATATATAAAGAAGATAATTTAATTTGTAAAACATCTAATAAGCTTTGATTATTATGACATATGAATATATATATATATATATATATATATATATATATAATGATTTGATTAACTAATAATTAATTTTAAATAAAACAAATTTTTTCTTATAATCAAATTCTTAATTGCTATTGAAGCAATATAATCATTAAAAATTAAATTAAACATCAAATTAAACATAAATTTAGTTTTATGTGTGATAATTTCTTCTTCATTTTTATTTTTTTTTCAAAAATATAGACAATAACACATCAATTTTTGAATAATTTTATTATAAATATTTTTGTTAAAAAAACATATATATATGTATATATATATATATATATATATATATATATATATTTTTCTATATATATGTATATATATATATTTTTCTATATATATATATATATATATAGGAAAAATTAAATAGACTCAAATTTTTAAATAATTGACCCATTCATCCTAACCATCATGAAAGAAAATAAAGATTTCTAAATTCATTGTCCCATTATTGGATTTGTAACTAATAAAAACAAACCACACTCATCATGACTATTTAGTAAAAGCATGGATCTATTTAACATTCTCCTATATGTATAAATATACATATATATAAATATATATATATATATATATATATATATGAAATAAGACATGTAGATTTAAAACATGTTTAAACCAAATTTAAATATTTTATAATTTATATTTAAATATATATATATACACATATCATATTAACATAATTTGTATAATTTTATAATAGACTTTTAATAAGGAATTCAACAACCATTGACAGTATATTTTAAAAACTAATATATATAAAAAATAGAAAATTTCAATCTAAACTAGGTATATAAATATATATATATATATATAAACAATAATTACTTTCAAATGATAATTCATCAAAAAAGATAATGTAAATAGATCCAAATAGGTACATCAATATATGCACACATATAAAATAGATCCATATACATATATATAATATTTTGAATAAAAATAAATTGGTGTGATTATAAATACTAATATGTAAGTATATTTTTTATGTGCAAGACATTTTAAATAAAATATACTTTGTACTTTTATTTATTCTTTCAAAAAAACAAGAAGATAAGCAAATTATAAACTTTTCAAGATTCTTTATAATTCATTCTTAATATTTAATTCTCAATAATTTAAAATAAAAATGAAGGAATTTTTCTAACAGTAGCTTAAGATTGTGTAATGATAAAGAGTTAGGAGTAAATGTCAAATAGGTTGTACCTCATTACAATATAATAAACTTATAATTGTAAATTATTATTTCTTAAATATGCCTAATCGCAATATTATAAGACATTAATTCAAAATTTGCTCTTGGCAATCTCACCCCGCCCTTCACCATCGACGGCTCTGCCCGGGACATGGCGACCACACACCATGGCCGCCATCCTATCGCCGTCGTCGTCTCTCCGATTCATCGCTGCTCCTGTGAGCACACACCAACTGCCTCCCCCTCGACACATGGCGCCCTTGCACCTCCATCCAATCCCTTTGAGCTTCATCGCCAACTGGAGCTCCTCCACGTCTTTGCATGGTGCTTGGATTTTGATTACACCTGATACTGCCCACTCGCTGCGTTCAGATATATAGTCATGGTAGTCGAGAGTTCCCCTCAATCAAAACAAGCTAATTGTGCAGGACTTGCCTTGAGCTATTTGCTTTAGCTTACGATCTACTTTAGTGTACTTCTACGTTGATAATTTTATCCTCACCCGTGTCGAGAATGGCGTCTATGTCCACTGCGATGGCACTGTCGAGCTCTGTGGCTGCACCTGCAGTCAAGCTCTCCTCCAACGCTGCTTTTGGATCGTCCGGAGTTCAGCAACTGGCTGCTGTGCGGTCGCCTGTGAAGCCGAACGCATCCAGAGTTGTGGCTGCCAGGGCAAGCCAGTCCTCTGAGGTAAGGTGGCGCGCATTGAATTCATGCGATCTAGAGTCTGGATGGCATGGATATGTTTGTTTTGTGGATAACTTACGTCAAGTACAGTTTTCTAGTTCTGATTTTGTGCTAATCTCGATTATTGTTATTATGTGCGTATTGTTATGTAGTCATGACCCATGATGCATGGCAAAGCGTGATGTTTGTGGCATTTTTGTTCAGGATGCCTTAAAATTGCTGTTTCTGTATTTTGGCAGGAACAAGCCCCTGTGAAGTCTAAGGTTCTTGTGGCGCTTGTGGCCGCCGGAGCGGCATTCGCATTGAATGTTACTCCTGTTGCTCCCGCACAAGCTGGGTTTTTCAGCAATGACATCCAGGTCGAGCGGGGCGCCACATCCCCACAATTCCCCGGAAACGAAGGCACTGGAACGAAGGTCGGCAACAACACGGGTAGCAGAGGGTCAGCCAGTTCTGGCACGCCCTTCGGTGAAGGCGCCGGTGGCAACTTGGTTGGAGACAACCAAGCCACCAGGCAGCTTTCGTCCACGGGAACACCGTTGGGAGAAGGAAGTGCCAGCGGCTCCGGCGTGAATGGTGCGGAGGCGTTGAAGGTACCTGATGTGGGACTGCCTGATGTGTCCAACCCCTTGAACAAGATTGGTGAGCTTAATCCCTTGAAGAATGGTGCACCCGATGCATCGAACATCGTCGGCGACGCCAAGAATGCTGCTCAGGACTTGGCGGGGGACGCCAAGAGTAAGATTGGCATGGGAGGAATGGGAGTGCCTGATGCAGGCATCGTTGCTAGCAACGCCAAGGGCATGGCCGCTGATGCGAAGTCCAAGGTAAGTGGCGGGATGAGTGATCCTTCAAGCATTGCGAGTGACGGAAAGAACTCTGCCAAGGATTTGGTAGGCGATGCCAAGAGCAAGTTGAGCAATGTTGCCAGCTCTGACGTTGTCGGTGACGCTAAGAACGCTGCAAGCGATGCTGCAAATCGCGCAACTCAGGGAGTTGCATCAAACAGTGCACAAGGCGTTGCGGAGAACGTGAAGAACAGCATTGGATTACCTAACCCCATGGAAGCTGGGAAGGCTCTCATTAGTAAGGTAAGCGGGAATTAAATGATTTGTGCGAAGTTGATGAATTAATCTCGTGCCTAGTGTTTTGCTAGAGTTGAATCGAGTGGAACCTGTACATGACGAGCTTGAATGTGCGAGGATGTTAATCATCGTCGTCACTCATTGTAAATGTATGTAGTTAGATGTTCAGCATCGTAATAAAACTTGTATCACCTTTATAATGTCTGTCTCCGATGTGATTGAACATTGCGTCATGGTTCATTTCTCGAAAATAATTCGGAGAAATTTGTAATGTTTGTAGCTGTTCGAATTTTCGACGGAGGTGTGTAAAGCAATTGCTTGAAGTGTGTAGGTTATCTTGAATTGTGCGACAGCAAACCAAACAGAAATATGTCTGAGTTTTAAACAGGTGTAAGTAATTGTATATTTGTTTTTAGCAATACAGCTTTTAGAACAACTTATGAATCGTTAAATATATGAGGAAGGTCCCTGAATGAATGTGAACAAATTTTTCGACGAGCATGTTCCTTTATTTACCGAGTGTGTATGCCATTTTGTTTTATGACTTCGACCCATTGTATGTAATCTCTGAGGAACTCCAATTTCTACCAGCTATATTTCTTTAGTGCTATTTGACCACATCGTCTGTCACAAACTCACAACCTCTTCTTCCTTGGCACCAAAATTCTTATCCAAGCCTTCTGGCACTTGGATGTACTTCCGTATATCCATACCTCGTCGAATATTTGTGAGAATCTTGTCCAAACTTGGGAGCCATATGCTTTCAAAGTGAGGTTATTACTCTCTTTTTATGTTTTAGTTGGTACACAAAAGGTGGTGAAAACTCCATAAAGGAAAGGATTCATTTGATTCATGCACACCGAACAAAGGTGTGATGATTTTTATACCAAAGTTGGCCACGTCTGTCCAATATGTAATTTCGCAGGTCCTAACCCGAAGAATTGACGAGGAGCAGAACCTTTAATTAACGAGGAGCAGAATATCTGTGACCAAGCATTCCTCCACTTCAATACTGTGATTTGGAATAATTCGAAACATGCATCATGATTCTGTGGATCTGACTGGGGCTTATTTCATTTGTGGTCATGAAATGAAAGCACTGTGTTAACATAGTCTTCCCACACTTTCGAAAAGTTTGATCATCTTCGTCAATTTGTAATGTGTCAGGATTAAAATCTTTCAATCCGCCTCATTCAGCAATTCACCATTGTGCCAGCAGGGTTTTTTCGAGCAGTCCACTTCAAATTGCTTCACATGCAAATCTTTACCTCTTTCCCAAGGAAAACCCTGACACAGCACTTTCCACAATGTCATTAAGAACAATGAGAGATACAAACCTGCCCCGTAGAAATCCACTTTGAATTCATCATCCATTGTGTATTGCACCACAGAGGTCTTGCCTTATAACGTGTGTTTCTTGTCACAGGACCTTGAAACTTGTGAGGGGGCTGGCTCCTCACGTTTTGAAGATGGATAACACTTTGACCTCAGCTACAAGACTGAGCCATTGAGCACCAGAATAGTCTGAACTTACGCATGCCAACGGGGAAGGATCTTCAGCGGCATTGAATGGATGACAGGCGGTGTGAAGCAGCGTGATAACGGGACGCGGGAAGAGATGCAGCGAAAACGCTTAAAATTGCCTAGAATTTCCAGATAAGTTAGTTCTCAAAGCTGGGAGATCCAAAGTCCAGACCCTAGTTGTTTGAAACTTCCCATATGATTCCCTGCAGAGCAGTCTCCTCTCATGGCCATTATAAGCATCCTTACAGTACCTTCCTTCCTCTTGACACGCCCTAGTTAATTGCTGACCATTTCCTAACACAGTGTGATGCCAGAGTCTTCCCATTCAAATTGAGATTAATAGCAACTCATGCTTTGGAAGACTTTTTTCTCCACGGCATGGGGTACGATTTGATCAGAAGGAATGCAGCATTTTCGTGGAGACTTTTCCGTCCATCACCAGTGGCCACCTCACGCCAGATTTTAACCATGCGTATAGTATAGTCACAGAAAGTTAGATTTGCATCTACTTGTCGTATAACTTGGACTCTAGATTCTGGCATTGAGCAATCGAAACATCGGTTGGTGTAAACCATGCAACACGGCAATCTGGAATAGGGAGAAACTTGGACTGAACTGGCGAGTCCATTACTAGTGGAAGATTGAGGCTCTGGATGAAGTTCAGAGACAGGGAAGTTCAGAGACAGTGAAGTTCCCACGCTTTTGTTCTTCGCAGAACCAAAAAAAAGAAGCTTGATTGGAGGCTGTGAAAAAGCTCGATAACTCTTCTCAACACACAAAAAGTTCAGCAGTGCAGAGGTTTGTCAGGTTTTATGTTCGAAAGTATATGTCTGCTGTTGCTTGGAGATTTTCTTTCTCTTTTCTTTACTTTTTTCTATCAATCGTGCAGGATAAGCTGGAACGTCGTCTCTAGGGAAACGGTCTGTCAAATCACGATTCAACCCTGTTCGATCACACCTTCAGTTTGAAGTCTTTTACGCAATTTCCTACTATTTCCCCTGAAAACCCACACTATTCTCAACTCATTCATTTGAAACTAAGGGCACTTGCGCAGTGCAACCAGAATGAAATGTTTCAAGAAATAATTGAAAAAACTACAGGTCCTGATCAAGTCATTTCAGGTGGGTTTATTTTAAGCTTCACATGAAAACATGTGGATATTTTTGCCATGGAATTGAGTCTGTTTATTACATTTATGATGGGATAACATCACCGACTTCATTGTTCGTGTTAATTCTTTGAACTATCACTTTTGCGCCTTAAAAGTAACCACTCAAATATTAAAGCGGATTGCATGGAATTATTCATAAAGTTTGAGTGTCATTCAAATTAATGCATCCCACGCCTCCACATCTATATATATATATATATATATATATATATATGTGGAATTTCAGTTACCGCTCAAATCCAATATTTTGTTTCAGTACTTCATTACAAGTTTCAACAAAAGCGAGAACTTGAATATATTTGAGCTTTCAAATCATTACTTTTTAGACTCTCAAAGTTCCATGTTCTAATGAAAATTGATAAAGATTTAACTTAGAATGGTAACCAGCTGCAAGCAATGTGCATTGTAACACTGTCAAATGATTTGCATGAATTGAATGTAGAGTTTTGAAAACTTGCACATTAATTCTAAGCTTCTTGAAATATGGGCTCTAGAAGAAGAAACTATTAAAAAAAATAAACAAAAATATCCACAGAAAAAACAATACTAATTGATCAAAATAGTAAATCAAAACAGCTGAGAGAATGAACAGTATACCACCATGAAACCTCTCCACTTCATGGCCTATCTTAATTTTTTTTTCTTCATATGCACATACATATTTGACAGAACAAGTGAGAAATCATGTTTCCTGATTTATTTATTGTCATTCAAAAAGGTGTTCCATGCATGGTGTTCAATGACACTAAAAAGAATACAAATTTTGTCATCTTTACACTGATCCAAAGAACAACCCATGCTTGGGATTTTATGTTCTAAAGATTCAGAACTATTGACTTAGAGCAACTTGGCTCAAGTCCTTAGAGACACATTTAAGACTCTAAAACACAAACTTCAATGTTCCAATCACAGTTCTTGCTTGGACCCAAAGTCAAGTGACCACAATTCCAAAACCCACTTCACAAAAAAGAAAAAAGTGCAAAAAAGTGCAAAAAAGCTTCATGCACTTCGTGGAAAGCATAAGTCACTAATTCCACTGTGAGTAACAAGTCTCTAAATTCTGAAAATTACTGGCTACCACCTTCTAAAAAATTAAAGAACATAATGTATTTTCTCTTCAAAGAGATTAGCAATATTCACTTGGATTTTACAGAATTTTTGTGTATATCTAAATTTATTTCAAAGATATAAATGTTACTGTAGAATATTGTTGAATTATAAATTAAGGTCACAATAACTAAATTTGCTTATTAATATATGAATGTAAGGAATTTTTGGCTGAGGCGTCAAATTGAATCCTCAGAGGTTTACTTGTAACACCATGTTTTTATAATTTTATAACCTGTAGATATGTTTCACATGTTCTGCCATACTTAACATTTTGTGTTGTATTTTTGGTTTTTTTTAGTGTGTTATTGTTCATTCTTTGGTTATTCATTAAGTAAAAATGAATCACCAAAATCAATCCTATCTTTTTTCCCTACAAACTTGGTTTATGGCATTCACTGTGTACATATTTTCTAATCAGTTTTTTTTTATAATATTGAATAACTTACTATATTCGTACTGCATGTCAGGCAATTTTTGTTTATGTTGCAAGTTCAAATCTATACTGGAAACGATTATTTGCTTAATTTTATTCTATGTCCATATATATATATATATATATATATATACATACGCACACACACACTCAAATGTATTGTTGTAAATACAATCAATTTTATGTTTAAATGCTCAATTATTAAAACTAATATGTATTTGAATTTGTAGTTGAATAACTTACTGTAATTGAATTTATGATTTGAAACAAACGAAAAAGTACTCTGCAATACCGTTTTTAAATGTTGCTAACCACTGATTGTTTCTCGAAAATTTCTATGTGAATTTGTTTGACTAAAGACTAAATTGCAGAACATGATTCCTGACAAAGATGCTAAGCATATTGAAATTTTATCAAAGAAATATATACTACTTTGACAAGTGGGAATAGGCAATAAACAACATCAATCCAACAACAATCACTGAACTTGGAACATTCATTTTCATTTACTGTGAACTGCATGTAAATAACACCACAAAAAATAGAAATAGAAGTAATCAAAAACATTGTCGAAGCGACTAGATTTTTACAGTATTCACATTAAGTTTCAACCTCCAGAATCATCAAACGAAATACATCAAGTAATAATACACTCTTGAAGTTGCAATGAAGCTGGGTTATACAGGAACACAAAACATAAAGTTAGTGAAACATCAGAATGAGAGTTTACTCATACAGTCAAATGAGAATCACCATACAAACCATCCAACAAGGTCAGTAGTCACTGCGCCGGGGCTGATCCGGCGCCACGCCTCACTGAGTGAATGAGCGAGCGAGATAAAGAGAGAAAGAGAGGAAGAGGCGACACGAGTTGGCATTGCATTGCATGGCACCGCAGAGGATGGTTTCATGCAACATCAACACTCACACACTCGCACAACCCACTCGCACGAGACACGATGAAAGGGGAGCGAATCAAGCAAGCGGGTGCCCCGAGTGGTGGTGCACTTCACCGCACTTCACAGCCCGCTCGGCAGTTGGAGCGGCAGTCCACCCTCTAGCGACTTCAAAGCAGCAGAACCTTCCTCCAACTGCCGAGCAGCGAGAGAGAGAGAGGAGTCAACCCGACTCTTCCTCCTCCTCCTGTGGTCCTGCGAGTTAACGCCCCACCTCCTCTTCTTCTGCTGCAGTCAGTCAGTCAGTCAGTCGGCAGTCCTGGACACTTACACACACATACACACACCTACCTGGCCACCACACAGTTTCTCTTTACACTTCAACGTAATTGTCGTCGTCGTCGTCGATTCAGTTCCAGTTCCAGTTCGAATCTTGTTCCAGTTTTGCGTTATTTACGAGTGGGCTGCGAAGACTCAGCAGCAACTCTGTGTGTCGTGGTACCCAGAGTGTGAGCTGCTGCAGTAGATGAAGCGTACAAGATGGCTGGATTCTTCTTCGCAGCTAGTCAGGTGATGGGCGGTGGCTGGTCTGGGGGAGGACGATGGGATTGTTAATAAGAAGGAGAAGTAGAAGAAGGTGACGAAGAAGAAGAGTGTTCGGTGCAGATCAGAACCAAAAGTTTTGGTTTTTAGGGTTTGCTAATTCTTCACTCTTGGCAATGCAGCGGAACATATCAGAGTTACCCACTTGAAGTTTCATCCATTCCTACAGTTTGTATGTGTATGTTTGTTGTGTCCCACACCTAAATCCATTTCCCCCCATTTTTAAAATTTCTTGTATTTTTCTTTTACTTCTGGGTGTTTATTTTTTCCTTGGTCCCCTTGTACCGCGTTGGTCTGAGATTTGGGTTGATCGGGGATGATGTGACCCTGTTGTTCCTCCAGCTCACAGCTTGAAAGGTTAACTCCACCCTCTTTTTCTTCTATAAATAAAATAAAATAAAATAAGCAAAACATCTGTGCATGTGTGTGTGTGTGTGTGTATACATGAAACCAATTGGAAACTCAAGTGAATGGAAATTGGAACACCACCTCCCATCATATTTTACTTTAGAATGGATGGCATTAATAGTTCTGTATATGGATTAATCCTTCTCCTTTGGAGTGGGGTTAATATTTTGAATGGTTGTTCTCTTTAATGAACTTTCAAAAGCTCCACAATCAGTTGTTGTGGTCCAACACAAAAGATTACTGTTGTCATTTACTGCTGTGCTGATTTCCAACTTTATTTTTTCAAAAATCATATAATTTCAAACAATACAATTAAAAGGATTGAAACTTTACCTTACAACATCATACGTTGATTAAGTTTTGGTACACAATCAACACATGACCCCCTTCAAGGATTCTAGCCTATAATTGGAGAAAAAATTAAAATTCCATCCATGTCGTAGCATAATTATTGCCAAAGAATCTCAAGATTTCCTATGGGGATTTCTCCTCCAGTTATTAACCCCCTCCCATTAGCAAAGAAAACGATCCTTATGTCCTTTGATACCTAGGGTTAATTCCATCCATGGTACCACACAAAATCGTCCTTCACCTCCCCCTTCCCGCCATGGCTCCAAAGGAAAGTCCACACATCCTCCAAGTCCCTCTCTTTGATGTCAACAAAGCACTTGACACAAGCACAAGGACTACTTGTTTGAAAAAATCAAAATCAAAATCAAACTAACTAAATAAATAAACCAACTTGAATTTGGTTTGATGTGTCCCTCTTTACAGCCCATTCTTGGCTTGTGTCTTATTAAGGGATGAATGGATATATATATATATATATATAAAGTACACGGCTTCTGTTGCTGGCCTTGAGAATTTTGTTCTGCTCTGGTACCATACAAATGAATGAAAACTAGTGTCTTATGTGAAGCCTGAGCGTGGAATGTTTTGTCCACCCTCTTCAATAGAATGATTCAGTTAAGAAGTCATCTTTTTTGACTATGTTGGTTCACAAACTGTGACAAAAAGTAGACTTCAAAACTTTATAAGGTTTATGAAATGTGTCTTTTACGGTTTCTTTTGGAGATTTTCAGTAATTTCCAAAAGACCACAGGTACACAAATTACATTATTTATCCTTTTCTTCATATTTCCTTAAGAAATGACAAAGTTAATATTCCAACTTTTGATTCACATTCATGGGAGCATTGTACCCATGTGTAAAAACACATATATTCACACACACACACGTCTTTGACCTTTAGCTTTGGCATCCCCAAATGCACTTACATCCAACCTAGCCAACTACCATTCAAAGCAAAGGAAAAAAAATACATTTATACGTCTATATATATATATATATATATCCTAGAAACATTCAAGTAGTTGCCACTTGAGCAGTCAAAGCATTGAAAGAACAAGGGCATCTAATTTATGAAGAAGTGAATGCCGAAGCACATGGTTCTTGAACAAAATTCCATATCTGAGATGAATGGGGAGCATTTGCATACTCTGCTTTCTCTGCAAAATCTACTGTGCACCACTGGAAACTGAAACTTCCAAGTTTTTTGTACATTTTTGTAATGTTTAAAACAATCTTGCATTCTTGAGCTCATGTCGATTTACTCATCGACATGCTCAAGAATGAAGAAAGCTGCGTGGAACTGCAGATTTAGTTTGTGCGGATGACATCAATGAACGAGGCAAGCGGCACGTAGATACATGGCTTTTAATGTGGAGTTCAAATCTAGTCAACGATGCCGATCAGCTCCGGTCCAACGTCGTTTTTGAGCGAGTGGCTTATCGCCGAATAAGGTCACGTCTACAAGAGGAAGGAGTTACGAGGCGCAGATGATCCACTTCGCTGCCCCAACAAATATTGGCATGCTGCCGCTACGCAGCCGGGAGGATACAGCACACAATCCTGTCCTCATTGTATTTTTTCAACCGTATGTCAGTATCTCGTCAACAAAAGTCCTCCCATTTTCAAATCCCAGATGCGCTTTTCTACTCCCTGCAGATTCACCTGGTACCCACCTCGTACTTCCCCACACACGCCTGTTGAAATGAAGTCTAACCACCTCCTCCCCTGCTGCTCCACTCCCCTAAGTTCGCAGCCACGGAAGCTAGCTTCATAAGTTACAGCGGTTTCTGCGTTCCGAAATCGGTAACTGGAAGCTCTGAGTTCCAGAGAACTGTATTGATCAACGATGTGAGTGACAGCAAGGGAAAGCTGGAGCTGGAATGGCGCAATCGATCACACGACATTGGAATTGCTCTAAGGTGCGGAGAGAGAGTGAGAGATTGAATTGACGTTGAACGCTGCAGTTGTAACATAGGCGGAAATTAAGAAGACTGGAAGGCTGAGTTGGACCAGGCGTATGTCCGAAGGGGGTCCACGTCCAGTCTGTAATGACTTGAGCCTGCAGAACTCAGTGTTCAGAATCGGAATATGTGTTCGTTGCGGATTGTGTGAGGGGTAAGAGTGCTTGTTGAGATCGACCAATGCATGTTGATGGTATAGCGGTTACGAGGGGTGTGAATAGAGAGAGTTTTGGGCGAACACCTCCTAGTGATACTAAACCTTTTTGACGTGGTTTGCGATGAGTTGGGTTCGTAATCATCGCATAAATTCTTTGTCCCACCACCGAAATTATTCATTGCTGGAGTTCTGGAATCACGGGTGAGATTGAGTTCCAGTGAGTAATTGCTGCGCAAGCATTGTTCATCTTGTGATTGCGACTCTACAAGTCCAGTGGCTTCTGATACCCAAAGCTCAGTGTAGTTTATTTTGCATGAGCGGTAAAATGGACTGAGTAACCCAGATTAGGCGAAGAGAAATGAAGGGGCAGCATTCTTCGGTAAAGGAGTGTGTAGCGGGCGTTTAGTAGAATCCGGTGACAAGGGTACTGCAGTAGTAGCTTCAGTGATGAGGGCGACTTATGGTTGCAACTGTTGGACCTCTTCATCAGGCTCACCTCAGCATTTGAGGTCTCCGCGACGGTCTAGGGAAGTTCCTAGGGGTTAATTGGCACAGGTGTATCGCATTATCTGAATCTTCTGGTATCGCATCACGTTCTTCAGTCTCCCTGCTTCAGCTATCGAAACGCTAGGCAGTGTCTTCGGTAGTTCGGTGTCAGCGATTTGGAGTTAGCAACAGCGTCGTTATAACTGTGCAGGGCTTTCGGCAGGTTCATGCACAATTCTCCAAATAAGCCTGGTCTGAGCCTGTCCGAATCTCACTCCAGGTCTACAATCTAAATTTGGGTGTAGCAGCCATAGACCATTTTCGGTAGTTTCCAGCAACTGTTCCAAATCCGCCAAGGTTGTGATCGTTGAGCTCGTGCCTCGTTGTAGGCCATTTTACCGGGACCTTGCGCTCTCACCAGACACCACGGGCTAGTCTATTTCGAGAGCCTGCACATTGATGACATTGTTCTAAAATTTGTGATGTTTTGGTGAATCGGACTATTCTAACAGTCGGACGCGCCCACCAAACTCTCTCAGGAGCCTTCAAGCCGGCGTCTGGGTTGGTGAGATCCCAGTCTACTGCAATCTAGGCTCTTCGACACCAAAACATTTGTTGATAGTTTTGTGAACGGTGCGAAGGGGTTGCTACTGGCTTCTGCTCTGGGAAATTGCAATGCTGGGGCTCAGCGCCTGCAACCTCTACGTTTGAACGGTTGGAGGCAATGGCTAACAGTGCATTTCACGTCTTCCACATGAGCGAAGTTCTGTCAGGAGAGAAACACCCCCGTCAGCGAAGACACTTAGACAGAGGTACTTAGCTGCTATGACTTTTTGAACATCAATTGTTGCCTAAATGCCACAAAGTGAGTCGAACTTCAAAACACAAAATCATTGATGAAGTCAAAGAGTGGATTTCAGCCAATGCCCCTCATTACTAAGTTCGTCCACACTCAAACAGGTTTCGAGGCGCCAAGGAATAGCTTGGACGTGCTGGATGCAGCCATTGATGTGTCGAGGAGCGGATCTTTCAAGCCTGAAGACATTCCCGTGAGTATTGTTGACTGCTCTGGATTTGAAAACGTACGCAATGTCAAGGAGCTGATTAGAACTGCAAGGATGTGTTAGTATTCTTGCACCGTTAATCTGTGAGATGGTATTTGCTGCAGTTCGGCTATGAAATCCTTAATCCAGCTCTTGCTGCAAGTGGCCCTCAATCAAAGTGGGATGGCACGTCAAACGACGTAGGAAATGACTTTTCAGGGCGTAAAGAGACTAGAAGGCAGGGTCCTAACATCGTGGCTCGGCTCATGGGCTTGGAAACGTTACCGGACGAGCTCCCAACTGTGCAGCCTCGGAATTCTTTGCAAGGAATGCCAATATACGGATGTTCCAAGCCGCCTGTGGGAAATCCTTCCATGAGCAGGCAAAGTTCGCAAGATGCAGCACTTTCCTCATGGCAGCGGCCTCCTCGGCCTCGACATGTGCAACGCGCACCTCTAAATGTGGAAGAAGACAGGGTGCTTGCTCCTGTACTTCCTTTCCGCGATCATCCGCAAGAAGAACTGCTGCAGAAGTTTAAAAAAGACTTCGAGGCGAAGCAGCAAGCAGTATTAGCAAAGGAGCGAGATCGGTGTGGCACCTCGCAGGTTCTGGAAGAAATGAATCGGGAGCTTGACGAGAAGAAGCAGAGGGTGCGCGCCACTCTCGATAAGGCTAGGACTGCGTTGTCGCAAGGCGTCTTAGCTGAACTAAAGCGACAACTCAATGGACAGGAAAACTTTGATGAATCCAAGGAGTTTCTCGAAGCGATGGAATTTTTGCAGTGCAATGAGGATCTCATATTTCACTTTCTCCAGCACAAGCCCCACTCCACACTCAGCGATGAAAACTCCAATGATACGACGCCCGTGGCGAATCTAAAATCGATGAAGAAAAGGATACTCGGAGGCTTAGTCCCAGCTAGTTCTCGAGAGTCTAAGGAGCGGAAGCGGGAAGGTTTTAGTCCTCGTGCATTTGCCCGTCTATTTAGGGACCCTCGCAAACGGAGTGACAACAAGCAACAACCATGTACACCTCCCTTATCCGGCACGACAACACCATCTTCTGCGAGCCTTCAGCCTGCGATTGAAAGATGCAACAGTGCTGGTTTTTACAGGAGGCCATCTGCAGAATTTACAAGAGACTCAGCACCGGATGAAGCGCACCTAAGGACTTTGAACTTCTCAAATTTGAGAGCTCAATCCTGCCCTGCGTCTCCGAGGATGCACGGTAAGCCCTTGTCTGGAGGGTGTGAGGTCAGAAGTTCTCTCAAGAAGAATGGTGCTCGGGCTGTTGCTGCGGAAATGAAGGAGAGGTTACGGCAAACTGTACATCGCGATGAAACAGAAGAGGTCGGGTATGTCAAGAATTTGAGCCCGGAGCGTCCGCAAGGCTGGTTTGGAGATTCAGAGGACATTACACAAGAGATTGCTAAAAGCACTCGTGATCAAGACTCTCGAAAAAATAACTTCATTCTGACGAAAACTTTTCCCACTGGCAAGCGTGTTGCAATTCAGAGAGTGGATATGGAGGATGCAACCTGCACGAGCGGTGGTGAGGAGCTGTCACTGCCGTCGGCCAAGATGGACAAACAAAATGTAACCAGGTCTGGCATAAGTCTTCCCTGCTCGCCTCACCTTGGAGAACGAACCCTTGACAACGTTCCAGTCAGTTCTATGAGGACTCGACCAAAGCGTGCTTCTGAACAGAAACCCACGATTCCTAGAACAACCGAGCAAGCCGACTCCCCGGCGACACTCATAGCGGTGGCAAAGAAAACAATCGCGTCAACCGAGTCCCCCCGCCGAATCAACGATTCTCCAAGAAGCTCGAAAAGCGAGTTTACCGAGAAGAGCATGCGCAGATCCGCTTCTGTAAACGAAAACGCCATCAGAAGCTACCACTTGCAGCAGAAAGGCGACGCCTGCCCCGTACCCACCAGTAAGGGTAATTGTCATGATCATTCTGAAAATGATCCTGCGTTGAATTTCACTCGGAGTCGCTCAGTTCCAAACGTAGCTATATTGCGGGACCGAGGACAATGCACTAATGAAGCAAAGAAAGGCACTGCGAAGACCACAAGCGAGGTGTCCAAGCATGGTAAGGGTCAGAACTCTGAGAAGAGAAAAGGATTCTTCTCTGTGGGCAGAAAAAAGGGCCGTGCTCCCGTAGAATCCATTTCTTCTGGCCATTCCTTGTTTTTCCCAAGCTCAGGTCCGGTATTTGCACGCGTCGCAGCTCTTGCGGAGTCATGTGTCTCGCAGGGCAACACCTTAAGTGACGCCGACAGCGCTGTGAACGTCACGGTTCACGTCAGATCACGCAGAAGCACAGACCGATCAAAGAAAGGAAGGGAATGGCCTAAGGAAGCCAACGCATCTTCCGAGCTAAAGAACTTTGTTGAGTGTTTTGAACCTTGGTTTGCACATGAGAGCGATGTTATTTCGGAAAGCAGTGCGGATTCCGACGCCAACCCTAATGACGAGGAATTCTTAGATGCTCTATCGCAGCTCACTCCGCTCATCGATCAGAAGTCTACCGCCATCGAGAAGCAAATTACGGGGGAACTTCTGGGCACCGTTTCTACAATCACCTCGCAGGCACATGAAGTGAGAAATCTTGCTTTGCGGATCAAAAAAGTGCTTTGTAAAAGTTTGTTACAGTCATTTAAAACAGATGCAAAACTGGTTGTTAAAAGGATGGTATGATGCACATTTCAGGTCCAGGGCGATCGTAGGACTTCTGAGCATTTGCCACCGCCATGGAGGACGGCAGAAGGGATCATTCATGAACTCACTTCCGACGAGGGCCAGGATTCTAACAGCGACAAGAATGGACACCCTAGTCCTGTCTCGGTTTTAGACCCGCCATTCGACGAGGAATCCCCGAGTTCCCTGGAGTTCGATGGTATCAATAACGGTCTTCAAGGTTGGTGTCCATGGCTAAATTGCTGTTTCCAACTCCCTCTACTCGCATTTTTCAAGAAGCTTGAAACGGAAAATCTCTATCCTAAATAGCTTCACATTATGGCCCACGCAGATCTGCAAGTTCGGGTACAACTTCTGAAAGCTGAAGGAAGGGAGAGACGACGCGATGACCCCATAATTCAAGCTCCAGCACCTCCTTGCGAAAGCAGGGCCCTGATAAGTTCACTGCAGAACACGAAGATCGTTCCGAAGAAGATTCCTTTCCTAACCCCCAAATGCGAACGCAATACATTCGACAGCCCACAAGTTCTTTTATCAGATGTTCGCCCTAATCCCGCCGGTCGGGAGGAAGATTTCAGATTTGCGAACGACCTTCTTGTTGCCTCGGGCTTCGCTACGCATGAGGAGCGTAACATCGGCCGGTGGCATTCTGCAACTCAGCCGATTAGCCACCATTTCTTGCGCAAAGTCGACGCATCCTACAAGGAAAAGGACGCGCATGGGAGCACCTCGAGTCGGCGATTTCTCTTCGACGCCATCAACGAGATCCTGGTTAGCAAACTTGGACCCAAATGCTACGCACCTTGGCTGCAAATGCCCGGATATAATCCAACGGCTTTGAGAACTGGCAGGAGGCTGGTGGAGGATGTCTGCAACGAGATTCACAAGCGCCAATTCCCTGTGCGCTGCGAGGACTCCCACAACGACTACCTGGAGAGTCTGGTGGCAGACGACTTGAAAAATTCGACGTCATGGATGGGTCTCCACCACGACATGGACCGCATCTGCCACCAGCTTGAGAAGGCCATCTTCACAGACCTGATCCAGGAGATATGCGGCGACTTGAGGAACCTTCATGTACAATAAAAAAAACAACACTTACAACACAACATAGAGAAGAATGCGAAAGATTTCTGCACAACTGGTTATCGTGAATGGGGCTTGGACCGCTCTTCAACGTCACAAATCGCAGAGTGTATAGATTTGTATCATATAGCATCGCGACTCAAAATTTGTCGAGGCCGATCCACTTTGAACTGGGTTTTTTCCTCATGTCGAAGTCTTCCAGCAAGCAAACGATGTCTGTGGATAGGTCGGTATGGATGTATTAGAGAATGTGAATCTGAATGGATGAATCAGTCTTCATGACAAAGCCCCATGCACAACATCGATCGATACAGATAAGCTTCAGCTTCGCAACGCTATTATTTCGTCGCCAGAATGTGTGCCGTCCGTCTGCGAGCATAAAAAAAAGCCCCACCTGACGCTTTAAAGTATGCGATGTCTTCACTCTCGTCCCACCAATTTCAATAGAGCCTGTCATTTTTAACTTCAACTTTTAGTTAATTGGCATCCAACCAATCCGAATGTGTTTATATATATATATATATATATATATCTTCTACTTCACTACAATTGATTTTGTGTTTCTTAGGGGATTTTTATTTTATTTCAGTTAATTTTGTGTTAAACTGTGTAGTTTGAAAGGTTCATGATCGTAAAATAATGCGGATTCTGAATGAGGTTATTCTGAAATTGGTTTTATTTATTAAAAAAACTCTAAATGGTTCTTCACAAAATCATCATGTTGATTTTATTATGTTTTCTGAAATTTAAATAAAATTATGATTATTTACTAGAATTTGAAACTAATTTGTATAGTAATATAAAAAAAATGCAATTGTGAACTTGTAAATTTTCTGCTCACATAGGCATGTTTTTAACTAAATATATAGAAAATAAAAGGTAAAATACACATGAGGTACATTCATCTAAACATCACTAATCTTCTAAGAAATGTACATTAAAATGTTTTAGTGTATCTGTGAGTCAATAGAATTTATCAGAGTTTATAAATCTCTATGTAATCAGAAAAAACAAAAGTCATCTTAATAATTCAAAATCCAAGTTATTTTTTTATCTTAATTTTTTTTGTTTGCCTTATGCCAAATAAGAAATTCTTCTCAGTTACAAAATTACAAATCCTATATATTAAGCAAAGAGAATGACATTCAAGAGAGATGGTATCTTGTGATCAGCAACTCCTGGATCAACATAACTGCTAACGTAATTTTAAAATATGTTAAATAAAGAAGATCAAAATTAAACATCATAAAATACAAAATGTAGCAGGGCTCGCATGTGGTAAATCCTTTCCCTATTTCCGGTCGCTTCTGTAACAGAGGGCCTCTTCGCCCTCTATTCCATGGCGTAGCCGCCACTGCTGGGGTCCATTAGGGTTAGGGCTGGGGTTAGGTTGGAATTCCGTCTCTTTTTTCCTTCATAAAGGAATATCAGATTCCTGAAACCCCTACCTCGTCTCACTCACTTGTTCAGTGTCGTCTGCTCGATGCCACATCTTGTGCAGTCTTGTCTTGCATGTTCCACAGGCATGTCAAAAATGAAAGCAGACTGCAGCTGAAGCAGTGGTGTGCGTAAGGGTTCGCGGGTGTCAGTTTTGCCGTCGGGAGTTGGGGATATGCGAGTTGAGCGACCTGGTCCTGTCTTCGTCTCTTGATATCTCCCTGGCTCTTCCGCTGAATTAATTTGTATTCTGAATGAGCCAGCGGTGTGGAGTTCACGTGATGACGACAACACTGCAACAAAATGAAGCAAGCTTTTGATTACCGATATTTAAGTCGCTGATGAAGCTCTCCACCGCCGTCTTTTGTGCCTCCGCGTAGAATGTCTCCTGCATGGATGTGTATTAAGAGATGTTTGACGCGGTCACTGCCTTCCAGAACAGTTTCTGAAATCCTTCTCTGGTCGTTAGAATCTCTTTCATGGAACCTACAATTTGACTTCTCAGCTGATCGAGTGTTGTGTAAGATGAAATTGGTTCCAAGAAATACAGGACCCTTCACTTTACCACAGAGCGCTACTCCGCCTTTTGGTCATTTTTGGGGTCCAACATGTGACCTTACCTGGTTACCACTAGGCATTGTTGTGCTAAAATCCAGTATATATGATATGACTGAACTCGTGATTATTGCAAGCAGTTGGCGTTCCTTGTGATAACAATATTGTGCTACTCATGATAAATCGTGATTAAGACAATGTTCGAATGAGGGAAATGACTGATCTATTCATACAAAGCCCGGAAGTGGTTGAAGCGATAATAAACACGCTTAAACTCTTCATGAATTAACTATCAACCAATCCGGTCCGGGATCCCTTACCCAAATTGAATGTTAAAACGATAATATACACAAGTCTTACCTCTGAAGCGCATTCTTCCCGTGAGATCCCAAACCGGGGCATTCAGTGTCCTCATAGTCTTGTCCAATTTTATAGAAATTAAAAAGTTTGAGAGTCACCTGAAGTTCTCGTACTGAAAGATCGCTAGCCGTCTCAGGCACAGGATCTAAGTTCCAAGTCGAACGAGTGGGTTCAAGTCGCATATCCGTCATCGGAAGCTTTTTGCTGTAACTATGAATTACTCTAGGCTTGCGTTAAGATATTGCATTATCGTCAAAATTGACATTATACAACTTTGAATCCTGACTTCGTCTCCTCACGAAATCCTTTTTCATCGCAATAGGTCCGAACATGGGAAGAATACTGGCAGCATGACCACCGATACAGAACACAGCCTCTTGAAACGAAACACGTACTCAGGACGAGAAGGAAATAACCGAAACTCAACTTTCACTAGAAATATATCTGCTGCCAATCCCAGGAAGCTACTTTCGAAGGTTTTCACAAACCAGCTTTTTACAGGAAAGTACAGTGAAAAGAACCATTTCTGTCGGTTTTCCCACAGCAACACATTTACTGCTTCAACAACACATCCATGTAAAGACTAAAAGTGATATACGGACAAACCTGTTCACATTATCTGGGCATTCGGTGTCCACACGTTCCTTACCGTGGCAGTTCCGTAATCGACAGAATTTAAGATTCAACTGGTTTTAAACTTTTCTCTCCTGATTGCTGACGGGCCATGGAATCCACGGTGAGGCGGGGAGTTTACTGCCAGTCACTTGCAACTTGATGAAAAGAAGATGCTGAGGATGGATGGGTACCGCAAAATGGATGCCGCGGAGAAGCTCGCTGCCCACGGGGAGCAGCAGGCAGTAAATGAGCGCATGTGGGGGGGGCGTTTATCTGCTGGGAAGATGTGGATCACTGGACTGTGGGTCCTGCTGCAGCTCTTCGATTTAGCCAGCGAAGAAATCGATCGAGTTGAATGCGAATCGAAGGTGGCGCTGCCACATGCTATATGTGGATCGACCTAATATCGATCTGTCATCGGGCCTTGTACATGCGGTGACGCTTTGTCTTCTCGATCTGGCTTCCCTCATGAGTGGTCACTGTCAGGTTGCAAGTATGAAGTGCCCTTGGTGATGTTCTTGAAAGGCTTTAACGCGGTTGCCATTTGGAGAAGGGGGGGGGGGGTGGGGGTTTTGGTCGCGCGTCGTGCTAGAGCAGAGTCCAGATTGGTATCTTCAGTTGTATCAAATTGGTAGTCGAGTTAGGCCGGATGGTTACGATAGTGCGTGTACCGCTGGCATTCAGTGTGTTCCGGTCCAGCGTTGCGCGGGCTTGCAGTTGTCGAATCTACGGAGCGTATGGTGCTTGATGCTATTGGAGCGTCGCGAGTTTAGGTGTATTGTGTGGCATCGAGTTTGTGTTGGATGGTGTTGCTTGTTCTGGCGAGAGTACGTCGCATTGGCTGCGGTTCAGATTGATTGATGTTTCAGGGTAGTGCTCTCAGGGATTGAATGTGGAGGACGGAGTACCCAGCCAAGCATAATGCAGGTCAGCGTGTGAGGTCATGCTTCTCACTTTCTGGGGGCGGTTGCGAATGAGCTTTATCTTTTGATCATAGAGGGATTTGCGACATAGGTATCCTTCAATGAGGAAGCGCAGGCAATACGTGAAGACCACCAAGTGCTATCACAGGTTGCCAACCATCGAAGAGACGGAAGAGCTCGGCGTCAGCTGGAAGTCGAACGTCGTATCGTCGGCGCAGCCGCGATCATGGTGCCACAACGTAGTGTCGAGCTCCCCGGAAGTCGATCTCGAGGACTGCACCAGATGGGGCTTCGATTCTTTCAAGACCAAGTTCGCAAGTCTAAAGGAGCTGCGGCAGACACTGGAGCCGCACGCTAAGCAGTTCGAAGAGAAGATCAAGCAGTCGTATGGTGAAGTGACGGATTTCGTTAGCGCCAAGTCGAAACAGGTCCGCGCTGTACAAATTGTTTGGCCCAACCTTCAATTTCGTAACGTCGTCGATACTAAGTGACAACTATGGTGTTGCGACCATATCACATCGGCTCGACGAGAACTAGTTTTTCTTTTTCTTTTTTGCATCCTGTTCCTTTTTATCTCTCGTTGTTGGACCAGGTTTCTCAATTTTGTTCTACGCTGCTCAGGTCACTGATGCATTCATTCAACATCTGTCGCTCTTGTACTATTTTCCAAACTCTGAATACCAAATCCTCCATGCTTCAAAAAGTGCCTGTGACACACTCTAGAACTTCCAGTCCTCCAGACAATGCGTGCTCTAGACACCGCTGTTTATTGATTCTCTACTGCAATGCACAATGCTAAACACCGAATTCAACTGATTCCCTGCGCTTGATACTTCAAGCTACAAAGTAAGAGTTCATTCTGATGACCAGATGGAAGGGCGTATAGAGATTGAGATGCTTGCAGAGCATGTAAACATACCAGAGACAGGTGAGATAGGTCCAACCAATACATGTACTACATAACAACAGGTTTTTTCTATTTAAAATGTCAGGAAATTAACAAGTTCCTGTGTCTACACACTAAGAATGTAAAATTTCAATTCAAGCAGTTGAATCAAGGTCAACAAGGCCTTCGGAAGTGCAGTAGTAAACAAAGTTCTGAAATAGAAA